GGCCCCGCGCGGCCACCGTAGAGCGCGCCGCGCCGCGGGCGCACCGCCAGGGAGGAAGCGGAAGGCCGAGCGCGCAGGGGCGAGGGGAGCCGGGATAGGCTGGAGCGCCGGAAGCGGGCCGCCCTACCCACAGGAGCCCTAGCGGATACCGGAAGTGCCCCTGTGCTGGCAGCTGAAGCCGCTTCTGGCGTGGAAGCAAAACACTTCCGCCCTGGGAGGAAGCCGCGTGTCCTTTGGAAGGACACGGGGGGAGAGGCGGGGAGCGCCGCGCGGCGCATGCGCAGGACCGCGGAGCTCCTCCCCCTCCCTGCCGCGGCGGGGGGCGGGGCGCGGGGCGGGCCGTTTAACGGTCGCGGCGCGAGGGCGGGGGAGGGTTTTGGGGGGGCTTGATGAGTTAAACAGAGTCCCCTCCGCCGSGGTCGGGTGTTTTGGGAGGAATTATAAATACCGGCAAATGAACTTTGCTTTTTCCCTGTGTCCTGGCTGGGAAGTCCTTTAAATAGAAACCCTTTCTTCCCCTAAGTGGGGCTGGGCTCGCCCCTCCCCTGAGTTTTAACAGCTGTGAGGGGAGGGGAAAGGAAAGCCCTAAAAAAACCTCGTGTCATTAGGAATTTAAACTCCGCATGTCCCTTTTCTCCTTGCGGCTCCAGTAATCCAGGCCAGCGCTAATTAACGGCGCTTAATAAGCGCTGCTTGTCTAGTCTGTGCTCCGGTGGCTTTGGAAAGAACAGTGTGTTCCRTGTGCAGCAATTTGCCTTTCTTTTTTTCTCCATTTGTCTTAAGTCAACGGTGGTGAGAGGTGCCAGCGTGAGAGGCTCTGGGTGTGCAGTTTGTGCACGCGTTTGCCAGTGTCCCGCGCGTCACCCCCCCCGTGCTCCCGTTCCAAGCACTTGGTGGCGGGAATGGCAGCGCGGGGTGACCCGCGCGGCCCGGCGGCTCTCAGCCCGGGCAGACGCGTGAGTCAGAGCGGTCCTGCGCCCGGTTACTTACTCGCTGTGGCGCCTTAGCTGCGCAGTTAGCCGCGCAGGCGGCAGAGCAGCGAGCTGCTTTGGTCTCGCGCCTAATGCCTTTTCCATATGGCTAGTCATTGTTTTTTGGGGGACATTTTCCCCATTAAAAAGTACTTTTTTTTTGGATGGTACTTGACTGTTGTGCTTTTTTTAACTGTTGCTGCCTGACATCACAAAGCCTTTTTTTTTTTTTTTTTTTGACTGTTGTGCTTTTTTTAACTGTTGCTGCCTGACATCACAAAGCCTTTTTTTTTTTTTTTTTAAATGCCTTTCATAGAAAATTGCCACATCCTTCCCTCTGCTGTGCTCAGGCACGTTTTACGGGAGTTATTTTAATCCTGTGAGTCAGTCCTGCCTGTCACTTCTACCTCTTTGATATTTCTTTTTTTTCTGAGAATTCTGAAATTGTCCTCAGGAGGCTGGGGCCTGCAGCTTGCATTCTAGGTCGCRTAAGAGCTGCGTTGAGGGTGGCTCTCTTTTCTCTCTGACCCACAAAGAGATCGCGCGTGCCGAAACCATAAGCTGGAAGAAGCTGAAACAGCCTGGGGTTTCGCATCCCCTTCTTGCAGAAGTTTCGGTCTATCAGAGCCTTGAAATATTTATTTCTCTGTTGCCAACACCCGGTTGTTACTAAGATGAATGGGAGGCTGCACCTCTTTTCAGCTGGTCGCAAACAATGGTGAACGAACTCGGGCATGACATTTATGTTGGCAAAAGCCTTTCAAGCCTTTCTTTTCTTTCTCCTAAACGTAGAGTGTTACGCACGATGAGGGCCCTAAGTGCAGACGCAGGAAGAGGCTCGAGTTTTCTGCTGGGTTTCTCAGCAAACAAACTGAATTTTCCCCTGGGCAAAAGTGGTTAGATGATGTGTGAGTAAAACCTTTCTCTTGTCCCTTGTTTTATTTTTACTGGCATCCCAAGCCAGATTTGAAGCCTGATGGAGCGAGACGCTCTGTATTGTAATTAACACTGATGCATAATGAAAATTCCAGAACTATAATTACCTTGTAGCCAGTTGCAGAGAAAAGCGCTCGGGCTCCAGCCGGAGGCCTGAGTCATTTGCGTGTCCCTAATAAAAAAGGCCTGTGCTGGGAGGAGGGTTTGGGATCCCGCTGCGGCAGGCTCGCTCTGTGCTGTCCCACAGAGGGCAGCAGCAGGCAGGAGACGGCAGCTTGGTTAGTGTCAGTGCAGAGAAAGCCCAGTCTGCCTGCGGAGCTGCAGRTGGGGTGAATCAAAGCAAAGCCTAACTGGGAAGGGAGGAGGGCAGCCCCAGCGACTTGGTTGCCTGGAAAAGGGTTTCCCAGGCAGGTGACACTGGCCAGGTCGTCACCCCAAGCCTGGCAGAACCACTGTGTCACCCTCGCTTTGTTCCGAAGTATGTTTGTTTTTTAGGACGGTGTATCTGCCCGTGATCCATGCGCTGCCTGTCACAAGTGCCGCTGTGCAGTAGCGAGAGCTCCCGTGTGCTTCCTGCTGGGCTCTTGGCTCTGGCCAGCGGTGAGAGCTGCCCTCTCTGCCGGCAGGCTCCTCTCTTTTTGGCAAGGCAGCCTGCTTGGAGACCTTTCACTTTCCCCGAGTGCTGTACTGCAGTCCCTTGATCACTCCTCTTGTTTGCCTGCTCCAGCTGACTGCAGCAGACAGTTCCTGGCTTTTTGGCTCAGCTACCCCTGCTACTTTCTCTTGAAGCAGAGCTGACATCTCTTCTCCTGATAGCGCCTCTACCATGCACCTCTTACACAATCCCCTGGATTTGCAGCCCTGCTATTCCCTGACCTTGGCTAATCTCTTTCCTTTCGCAATACTTCTAAGTGCCTTTCCCAGTGGAGACTTGCAATTACAGAGGCAAGTAGGGAGTTGTGTATTTCTGCAGAGGGAGAGCAGGTTTGAGCTCCTTTAATCTAATAGGAAATTTCTCCTTCCCTTTCATAGGCAGCACTTTCTTGTGGTATGCAGTCATCCACGGGAATTGTTCCTTCTCATTTCTTTCAACATCTCCCTTTTGCTGCAGGAAGACCTGTTCCTAGTAATGAAAGGGATTGTTCTGTAACTAGAGGAGCACAAGGAGGAATGAGGGAGCAGGCCACCTGCCTGCTGCATCTCGGCCATTAAGCATGTCTCGGAGCAAGACGCGAGGAAATGCACATGCATACTTGCTGCCTCAGTCTCCCCAGTTGTTAGCATGAGAGTAATTTCACTTGCTTCTTTTGGGCAGCTGCCTTGAACTCGGTATTCAGATTTTCCTCTCTGTTGCTTCTGTCATTATACCAGCAACAACTGGATCTGCAAGACTGGAAGCAAGGGAAGCACATGCCACTGTTAGCTAGAGGTGACCTGTATGGGTTGTTGTTTCCTCATTCTTAAACCCTCCTTCCAGACTGGGCACTGTTATGGTCCCTTTGGTGAGCCTGCAGTGCTGCCTTCCTGCCTGTTCTGGGAGGTGATGATACCTGCCATCCCTGCAGGGAAGGCTCAACTGGATTTCCCCTTGCAGACAACAACTTCCCAGGAGAGCTCAGGACGGGCGGAAGATGCTCTGAGAGCATCAGAAAACTGCTGCTGCTGCGGCTGCTGCAGCAGGCAAAGGGAAAAAAAAAACAAACCAAACATGATACAAACCCTATATATTCTTGGCCTGGGGGCTATTCGATTATGTGTCTGTGTAAGCTAAAAACAGAACAGGGAGAGGAAGATTCTGCCAGTTTAGAGAGAATTGCTTAAATTTACTAAGCTGAAGCAAGCATCAAAGGCGCCGAGCCCGCAAGGGGGAGCTTCAGGGAAGTCATTTGTTGGTGAGGTAGCTCCAGACTGAAACAGATATCAGTAAAGTGCACTCAGGATTGAAGTGCTGTGAGAGGCACTTGAAAAGGTGAACAAATTCACCTGTTCTCCCTCTAGCTCTGACTTGCTGTGTTATCTCTAGCAGATTGAAGGGGAGCAATTAGAATGCACAAGTATCAGAAGACTCTTTTGAGAGCCTGGATTTTTGCTGAGATAGTTTAGCTCTAAAGAGCAGCATGAGGGAGAAGGAGAAAAATCCCATTGCAGAGGCATTTTACATGGGCGGCCGAGCAGAGATCAGCGACATGAAGCCAGGAATCCTGGAGCAAATCAGGAAGCCCAGATGCAGCAAATCCCCAAGCCTGGATGATTAATACATCCCTGCATTGCGGTGACAATGAAGTGTGACTTAGTGATGCGTTTGCTGGGGATGTTCAGTGTAGCAGCAATTTGGGATGCTCCGAGGCACAGCGTTATCCAACCTCTCTKTAAAAAGCAGTGTAGGGAGGAGGCCCCCCATGCTCTTAGTTGTGCAGCTGGCTCGGGTCTGACAGCCAGTGAGCCTGAACGGTCTTTGGCCCAGGCATGCCAAACCTACCCTGCTAGTGTAGGTTTAGATCCTGGTTTGGCAGCAGCTGCGTCAGGTTCCCTAGGAAACTTCAGTGCTGGCTTAAGCGCTGCTTCCAGCCCGGCTGCTCTTCCCTTTCCACTTGGCACCGCAGCCAGCTTCAGCCCTGCCTTGGCAGCGGGAGGCGGAGAGGAGCAGCAGGGCGGAGTGAACCCAGCGCTGCGCTGTGACAGATGTGGGATTAGAAATAAAAGGAGGCTGAGACCCAAGAGGAGGCGGCAGACGCAGAGTCTACATATTTCCCTAGGGTGGGCCTGGCCTTTAGAGGCTCTTTTCTGGTCACTGCGGCTTCAGCYGTGCTAGTAAATGCAGCAGGAGCGGGGCAAGCCCTGGCCATAACCTCAGATGGCCRTTCTGAGGGAACGCGCGTGTTCTGGCTGGCTCTTGCTGCGACCGTGTCACAACTTTGCAGCCACCCAACTGAAGCGCCGGC